GTCTCTACTATGCTAGCTAGCATGGACATGCAAGAAGCCAGGATTCTGAAGTGAAAAGTGACTCAAAGCTAGGTCTGAAAGGCCCCACCCAAAAGTCATGATTAAGTTTACTGTGGTCTTGGGAGTCTATGTTCTGTCTGTTCCAACTCTAGAAATGGGGTTGGTAATGGGTCCCAGAGAACACTGAATGTTTAACTTCATGGACTTGTTAATGTTTTATCTTGTCATGTGAATGGTAACCTAGGGGAATGAATAGATAAACAATGGATAGCCCATCATCAATAATCCATATCCAAGCAGGACAGCAAGTCAGCCTCCATCCTTTCCTCTGCCCCATGCCTTTAAAATGGTCAGTGGGCTCATCCTTGTTTTCGTGTTCAGGAAGTCTGGGTATTTCCAAGGTTACAATTTGAGCAGCTTTAAGAAATGATCTGAGCCTGGGTTTTCCTTCTTTCTCCTCTGTCATTGTTAATACACTGGCTCGAGTCTGCAGACCTTTCTGTCAGTACTCAAGATGAGTACTGCATCTCTAAGCTTTACGATTTCATAATTCCCCATGAAGTATCCAAAAAGACGCACAACCCTGCTTCTGACACAGTTTAAATTGAGGGAAAATTTCCCCAAAGGCTCCCAGCAAATCTATTAAGTTTGGCCCACTATTTCTACTTTTAAAAAATCAATGATAAGAGAAATGGAATAATCAGTTTACAGTAATCAACATTCATTCTGGGTGTTGAAGAGAGTAGCCTATTGGATGTCACACTGCCGATACGAAACGAGCTCTATTTAGAAGGCATTCGATGAAATGACGGATAAGTTTTGAGTAGACAGTGTTGGCAATTACTAGCGGGCATCTCAATGGCTTTCTCACATGCCCATGGCCTCCCGTTCCACTCTGCTTATGAGTGTTCTTTGCCTGTGGGAGTGTGCCCTAAAGAAGTTCTCAAGTAAAGGAACAGGAAGTGTGTGAGTACCAGTTTCCTCCAGACTAGAACATTTCTGCGACAGCTCCGAGTCTTACCGGTACAGGGATGCCAGTTACCATAGCGATTATCTACCCATCCCTGCGCTTTCACTGTCTCCATTCCTCACACTGTACCTCATTGACTCAAAGACGGCTTTCAGGAAAACTAAAGTCTGCAACCGATAGTGGCTGTCACTGCAATTCGGATGCTCATCTTCTCTGACTCCTTCTTCACACCCACTCAAGAGTTCCTTCTTCCTTTGTGTGACCCTTGTATGATACGAATCCCAAAATACCATACTTGGAGTATAAGCCTTTCCTATCACATCGTGTGTGTGTTTGTAAAGTCAGCCATCTTTTCTTACAGTATCTGGTGTATTGTAGGTAGTGACCCAATGTCTCCCACGCGAGCAGAGCCCACAGAGGCCAGTTGATCTTCTCTTACCTAGAGACTCGGCTAAGAAAACTGAAAAGAAAGCATCATTCTTGGAATACCCTTTGTTGTTATCATTCCTCGCCTCAGAGGTGAAATATCTGGGTTCCCCCAGCCACACGAGATATTCATGTGGGGTAAATATGCTCGCTGTAAGTTTAAGCCCCTCAAGACATTTATTTTCTTTGCTCGTGTTTCAACATTCCCAACCTCTGATGCAGATCTTTTAACCTAAACATTTCCTCCCAGATGGCCAGATGGCCCCA